TACATGCTAGGCAAGTAAGTGCCCCCTACATGCTCAGACATATTCCTAGTCTCACTTTTTAAAGCAGAAAAAACCCAAAAGACCTGTTTGCACCCAGACTAGGACCAACTCCACAGGAGGAGCCATTCCACTCTCAGAGGTGCAAAACACTGCCCAAAGGTATCCAGCCACAACACCAAAACAGTGCTTGGAGCCAAACCTCAAAAAGGTAGTGCTTGCTCTTCCAACACTGTAACACAATCATAGGCATTGCACTAGCCTAGATAGCTGACAACTGTTGGATTATTCCTGAAACATTTCCCATTTCAATTTCATGTACATTGGTAATCCACATAGAAGACATCATTAGCAGGTAGCTGTTGACTGCAAGACAGGCATGGAAGCATTTCACATGCTTTCAGCAGTTTTCCAACATCAGAGAGTTCCTGCCATTTGGTAGGGACTGAACTTGGAATCTAGCAGTGAACAGAGCAAGACATATTCTACTTTGTCTTCTGGAACTTAAAATATCCCTATAAATTACACCACAAAGATCTTTCATACTGTCAAACCACCAAAATTCTACTCACTGCCCAGAATAAATCTGTTCAAGGACAAACATAGGTGAATTTGCTTCCAATTGTTTCCTGAGAGATACCAAGTAGTCAATAGCCCTAGCAGAGGCAGTCAGTACTAGAATACACTGACCTGAAGACTACACATGCAGTCATGGGCTTCTGCTTCCCTTCTGCAGAAGAGTGAAAACCACCTTACTTTCACGTCATCCTAAAAGGGAAAGAAAGCAAGTAAATAAGCTTTAGTAATTCTTTGTATAGGAGTAACAATTATTAATGCCCTGTAATTTTCAAATTATAAATAACTAGACTTTAACTATTTCCCACAGAATTTTTATGCATTTGTTTTAAAATAAAGGAGCTGGTGAGATGATTCTGAGTACCTGAGTTCAATCCCTCCCTGGGACTCACATGGTGGAGAGAATTGACTCTTTCATGTTTCTCTAACATGTTCCCTGATACACAAAAATGTCATCTTAAATTTAGGTTTAAAAAAAAAAAATCATTTTGGGGGCTGGAGAGTGGGCTCAGTGGTTAATAGCACTGGATGCTCTTGCAGAGGACCTGGGCTCAATTCCCAGTACCCACATGCTGGCTAAGAACCATCCTTAACTCCAGTTCCATAGGACTGATGCCCTCTTCTAACCTCTACAGGCATTACACTTACATACATACAAACACACACATGGATGCACTTACATGCAGGTAACACTCATACACAAAATTTCAAAAAATAATAATTTTAAAGCACAAGCAAAGCAAGGGCCAAGTGCAGTTGTTACATGCCTTTAATCCCAGTAGAGGCAGACGGATCTCTGGGAGATCAAGGGCAACCTGGTCTGCATAGTCAGTCCAGGCCAGGGAGATCCTGTCTCAAAAAACCCCCAAAAGACAAGCAAATGAGGCCAGTAGTATAAGAAAGGCAGGGGCAAACACCAAAGTGATATACCAGACTCTCCCTGAGTGCCAGTGGGAGATGGAACATGCAAAGGCAAAGGCCGTGGGAGGCTGCAGAGGGGTAATGTGATAGTCTGGACCGTGTACTTCCAGGGCTAAGCAAGTGCTGGTGTGCAGAAAGAGATATATGGGAGAAATTATGGGCATGAATCCCACAGGCAGGTAGAGATGGAGGGTGGAAGGGGCATAGAAGAGTAGGAGTAGATGGAGGTCAGGAGGACTTAGAAGGCCTAAATGGATATTGAAGGGTTTTGGGGTGGGTAAGAGATCTCTGGCTAGTTTTTGGAGTTCAATTATGTTCCAGTCACCACCCCCTTGCATCTATTCAAATGCAGGGGTATCTTGTCACTGAAATGAACAAGGCAATGATGGAGGTCTGGAAGGCCCGAAAGAGTTATGGGACTTCAGGAGGTTGGTAGTAAGACAGCCTGGTTGAGGTATGCAAGTAAGGCCTCTGGTCCTCCCGTGGGGAGAGAGGAGAAAAAGGAGGGACAGGATTAGATGTGGATCAGAGGGTACCAAAAGTCCTCCAGGATATGGGTGAGGCCTATGAAGGTAGCTCCTCCTATGGAAACCGGGATGTCACTTTTCACAAAAACAGTAACTGAGTCAGTTCCATCGGAAATCTCTAGAATCATCCCGATTGTTGCTGCCTCGGCATTTCTTCTTAGTAAACCAGCATTACCATACAAAAATTACTACAGAGGGGATTTAATACTACTGTGTAAATGTACAACAACTTTGCTCACATTAGTACTATTTTACCTAGGCCCAGTCCCCAGAGCCTTTCAATCAACTGATACACAAAATTACCTAAGAGCCAGAGTAGAATGCAAATTTTTGTCGTTGAGATAGGGCTATTATGTTACTCAGACTGATCTCCAGCTTGCATGCTACATTAGATTCAGTATTCCCAATAAGGCATTCCAAGGCCTAGTTACAAAAACTCTTTTAAAATAAAAAAGAGTTCATAACCTAGCATTTATTATTGAAGGGAGAATGAGCCATGCACTTTCATGGAAAGCATAATCCCACTAACTTCCCCCACTATACCAGGCCTCCTTTGGACAAGTTATAGGTACTAAAAGCTTGACTTTTTCTATTTATACAATGATACTGGCTTATTTACTTTTGTTCTGTTTCCAAGTTGTGATTCAAGTAACTTCCTAAGAATCAAACGTTGTCAGTCCAGAACTACTCAAATCTTAATTTTAGGTTTCTTCCTGCAGAACTCACACGCTTACAGAGTCAACCTTAGTGGATAAGCAACTATGCTGACATCCTGGAACAGTTAACAACACAGCCAGCATGAACCAGGCCCAGAATGCCAACCAGCTATTGGCTGCTGTTCTCCCAGCAGTGTAACACTTGCCTAGGTACAAGGAAACCTAGGCAGCTGCCTACAGCTGGAGCCAAAGGGGACTAGTTGGGCTGTACTCACCTGGATTGGCCATCTCCTGAAACTGGCAGTTGGCTACTCTGAAATCAAAACATCAGGTTAAAGTAAGCCAGCAGTCAACATGTGCAGCTTAGAGTGCCCCCTTTACAGCTGGGCGTGGTGGCACTTGCCTTTAGTCCCACACAGCACTTGGGAGGCAGAGGCAGGCAGATTTCTGTGAGTTCAAGGCCAGCCTTGTCTACATAGTGAATTCTAGGATACCAGGACAGCTGGGGCTACAGGGGGATCCTGTCTCAAAAGAAAAAAAAAAGGGGGGGGAGTTCCCCTTTACTTTGTGAAGACTAAGCCACAGAATAGTAGGCAATTTACCCTTAATTAGCTTTGTTTTCACATCTTAGTTATTACACCCGTGTCATATTAAACACATTATGGCCTAATCAACAAGTATCAGGAAGCTTGATGCTATCACTTAACAGTCAAACCACTAACCAAGTTAATGTACCCTCAGTGTTCACATTTCTGGGACAGTAATAGCATGACAGTACTCTGCACTTTATAAAGGTGACTGGGAGACTCAAATGAAAAGTTTTGTGGCTTGTTTTTTTTGAGGCAGGGTCTCTCTGTAGCTAGGGCTACAGAGATATGTTTCCCCAGTACTGGGATCAAAGGTGTTTTTATATTAGATCAGGACCAACCAGGGTGATGTGAAGATGAGATGGACCTCAGGAGCAGACTGTTCTTTATTAGAATGAAGGGCCGCATTTTCTCCATGGGATCAAAACTGCTGCACTGAAGCACAGTTGATATAGAGCTTATACTGATTTGGAGAGAAGGAAATGGAAGTTTTCCTAGGCAACAGTCTCTGTATTGGGGTTTCACAGGTTCTGGGCCAGGAGCTTCTTAGCTGGGTCTGAGGAGAGGTTTATATAACCTGACTTAGAGCCTATTTATCCTTCAAAAGGCTTGTGTCATTATGCCCGGTTAAATGAAGTATAAGTTAAAACCATAAAATGAGACTGGTATGGTGGCTCACACCTAAAACCCCAGCATAAGGGAAGCAGAGGCAGGAAGATTGCCAGCTGGGCTATGTACTGAGCTCAAGGACCTGACTACTACAGAGACCCCTGTCAAACAAACTTGAAACTATCACTCCAATATACCCCCCTCCCAATCTCACAGGATATATGGTATGGACACTCAGTGAACACTTAAAACTACATTTTAAGAAGATGCAAGTACGGTGAGTTATTCAGAGCACATTAGGCAGTTGAAATTAAGACTGACTATGGAACCCTTTGAAAGACAGTAAAACTTAATTCTAAGAGCCAGACGGGGCGAAAGCCTTTAAGCCCAGCACATGGAAGCAGAGGCAAGCGGATCTCAGTGAGTTGGAGGCTAGCCAGGGCCTGTCTCAAAAATTAAAAAGGGACTGGAGATGGCTCAGCGGTTAAGAGCACTGACTGCTCTTGGGGAGGACCCAGGTTCGGTTCTCAGCACACATGGCGGCTAACAACTGTTCCTAACTCCATTTCTAGGGGATCCGACGCCCTCTTCTGACCTCCGCGGGCATTGCTCACGGGTGCACTTACAGACAATATACTCATACACATAAAATATAAATTTTAGAATGAAAAAAAACTTAGAAAAACAATTAAACATCTCACCTCCTCCAAACAACTTAAAGAAACAGGAAAAAGAATAGGGGATGTAAAAAACCGGATCACTCTTTCAGGGCGTGGGCTGAAGGAGCTGATCCGGTTCCATCCAGACACGTGTTCCTCACAAACCTTTCCCAGGCTAAACCCGCAGTTTCTGGAACTCTAAACTCTCGGAGCCGGGTTCCAGGAATCTTCTGGGCTTTTAGAGGGACGGCAGAGCACTGCAGGCGACTCCTAGGCTGCGATTTTCCCTAGTCTCTTCAAGACCTCTAAGCCGGGGGTCACTGGACAACAAGCCCCAGTTTCTTCCAGTTCCCCGGCAAATGCCTTCTTTCCCTCCTTCGGGCTGGTAAGCTCGTAAACTCAG